GGGAATTTCACCTACAAAATTCCCCCAGCCAGCCATCCTTCCCCCCCTTTTAAGGGGGGTTTCCCAGGGAAATTCTGGGAGTTGAAGTCCACTCATCTTAAAGTGGCCAAGTTTGGACAACACTGGCTTAAATCCTGAGTTCTAGTTCCTAACCCAAATCAACTCTTAATATTCACATTTTACTCGTATCTACTCATTTCTCTTTCTAGCCTCCTGCCACCCTTGTTTTCCTCTCCCATATTTATAGTTAATCATAATAATCAATAAACAGTCCCCATTTTCTAAAATTTTGCAAAGGCATTCCCCAAATGAAGTGCCCTCCAGGCCTCTGACTTCAACCCCCAGAATTCCCTGCCAGCAGAGCCACCACTGGGAATTCTGGGGACTGAAATCTACTCACATGGAGGTCACCCAGCTTGGAGAAGGCCAAACTACGGGCTAAAACAGACATACATTTTTGGGTGATGGTTTTGTTTGAATTAAAAAAAAAAACATTATTATAATCTCTGCATTACGGGGGACAGCTATCTGTTCAGAGGAAAGGTAAAATTTGAGCCAGAAGCTTCCTAGTTCAAGCTTTTCAACGGTGATCCTGTGTTTACTTGCCTGGGAATAAACTCCAATGAATGTAATAAAGCTATGGATGTACGGGCAGAGTTTCAACATCAGCCATTGCATTGCGTCAGCTGTTCAGGCTGCAAGACCTTTGAGGCAAGGCGTAAACCTCTACCTTGATAGTAGGACAATTAACTCCTTCTCCTCCATGCAATGGTTCTGCTCCCACAACCCCCTTAGCTGGCTGTTGGATTATGCCATTTTCAGACCATACACTGAACCGTGATCTAAGCTAAACAGGTTGGTTTCACCCAACACGCTCATCCAGAAAGGCCAACAAGGACTCGAGCTGGTCATATGCTGCATGGCGATTTGAAATTGACCTAGCTGGGTGAACCAGCCGATGATGGCTATGAAAACTTGGGTTCTGCCATCTCCTTTCTTCAGCTGGCAGGATGTTTTCTCGGGCTTCACTTGCTCACTAAGAAATGGGAGAGCCCTGGATCTTCTCCACTAGCTTCCTCCTCCGAATCTCTTGCAAGGTCAACATTACTCACAACAAAGCAATTCAGCGTTTGGCATAGGAGGACGTTTCAGGGGATAAGAGGACCTTCTCCAACCTGGTTCCCACCCAGATAGATTATAACGCCCATCACGCCTAAGCAGAAGGGTACCAGCTTGGCGAAAATCACGGAACTCTTTTTCTACTGTGATGGCTGGCAAGCCACTTGGGGTGAGGCGACTTTTTCTGGAAGGGCAGCATACAGGTTAATACATGTTAAACCAATATATTCACCCTGCCCTCTGCAGGTTTTTCAAAGCTCGGATTGAACTCGGCTCACTTTAGGACCCGGAGGACAGCCTCACGCTGGCTTTGCCACCCTGCAGCTGCTATTGCAACAGGTTCACTCTGCTCCTGCCAATTCCCACAGCCGGGTCTTTGGGTGCAAAAGGCCAGCTGGGCTGATCCAGAAGCGGAATCAGGATAAAGGCTGCCTAGTGTCCAGTGGGATTGGAGGGGGAGAGAAAGGGGGCTGATCTGGGGAAACAAACCTACACAGAACGTCTCTGAAAAGCAGGGAATAGATACAAGAAAATCAAGCCTAGCATGGTCCAACTTACACCAGAATTTCTCTCCCTTTCTCTTTTGCGCTCACTTCACCCTCTTCTATTTACGTCCTTTCCAAATATTTTTGTTGCACAAACTTGATGTTCTGGCAGCAAGCGCAAAAGTGCATTTAAGAGCTGCGTGAACCTGCTCCCAGCTCACCTCCCCAACCCGAACACCTACCAATTTCCAAATGACTCCAGCCAAACTCCTCTTTATATCGTGAACCAAGGCACCTCATCTTGTATCCCTACACATGCCAAAGCCGAACAAGAATGAATTCCTGTGCTGATTTCTTCTGCTGGCTCGTCACAGGAAAGCCACAAACTAATTTGTCTGATGGGAACTTAATATGGGATAAGGAGTAGAGAAGCTGCATGGAAGAGTTTCGGGAAAGGGGAGACTGAGAGGTTATCATGAGATAGGATTCCGCAGGCTTGGACACCCTGTGATTCTCCTGTTCTTGAAGGCCAACTCCTATTATCTCTCTCCAGCAAGACAAAGAGTGAGGGATGTTGGGAGCCGTAATACCACCACATTTGCAGGACCACAAACTGCCCAGCGCCTCTTTTCAGCAAGTTAAGGGTTCAATTATTGGGCAAACTCCGGAAATTCAACAGGTTAAGAGCTTTATATGAACCCAGGCTGATTTGAAAAGATCCAGGATTGGCAGAAGGCTAAAAAACGAGTCAAATACATTTAGCATGGCAAAATTCTCGTTGCAGCAACCCAGGCGTCTCTCCAGATAGGTCGGACTACAACTCCCATCTCCCCCAGCCAGGTGTAGTCTAACACACCTTAATAGCCAGAACAGCTCAGAATAGCCAGAAAATATCCTGAAGGTAAGGTGTTCCCCAGATGATCTACCTCTTCTCCTAAGCCAGGAGTGGACCACCTTTTCGTAATGGAAAGAATAAGGAAAATGACCTTGAGAGAACTGTTGCTTAGGCAAAAGGGCTGAAGCATTTTTTAAGTCCAGAGCATCCAGGTAACATTCAGAAGCAATTCAGACAGATATCTCCCTAACTCACTGGCGTATAAGAAGGGGGAGGAGGCCCAATCAGACTTGCAAGATGCTGTTATTACAGCCGATCTCAATAAAATGTTTAGCCTTCCTGTACAGTTGATTTCCTGATCTGGTCTACCTAGTGGAGCTGACATATAGAAAGGAACTGAATTTTTTTTATATATATATAATAGCTCCCTAGAGAGCTAATGGGGAAAACTAAAATTTTTTGACCCACAATTTTTGTTTTATTTATAAGGTTGGGTTGTTTCCCCGTACATTATCTAGCAAAGGTTTAACCACAAACATTCTGCTTGACGTTTTTACCCAACGAGGATGACAAATCACACTGCCGAATTCCCTCATTTTGCTCTCAAATTTTGGGAGCGTGATCTGGGACCTCCAGGGCAGGGTGGGGGGGGGAAGGGGGGGTCTGGCACCAAGAGAAGGACTGGATGTGGGGCTTCAATATGTTTCGTTGCCATTAGAGTCCTCAGTCCCGGGGTTGGGAGATGTAACCAGAGCCATCCAAGAGGTGGGGATTGAGTGGGGCAGATGACACAAACACGTTTTGTATCCGCGTCATGACGTCACAAGTGCAAAAGAAGCGGAACCTGCGATGCAACAGCGCAACGCTGCCTTTGTCACTTTGGCGAAAGTGTTAGATCTTATGGACACCTCTGGTTGTAGCCAGTGTTAAGGTCGCTGTTAAGGGATCCCGGTGTGGCCGCCTTCTTGCCATAGGCTCACCTTCTTGGTGATAATGTTGCCTTGCTCATCAGTGAATTGCTCTTCGGTCACTTGTTCCCCAGGAATATCCAATATTTCGTTACCCTGGACAAAAAGAAAAACAGAGATCTGCTTGGGAACGGGCCATCCTTTCCTCCCTCCCCTCCTCTGTACACAGCTGGGCTCTTCCACTTATGCCCTGAAGCCTAGTCCATGCCAGATTCCCTGTCCAACGACGCTCTTTCACCAGGTGGCCAGCTCAGCAGAGCTACGGTGTCTTGGACTGGCACCCGGAAGCTAAGCAGAACAAGCAGAACTCCCCATCCGCTTGGGCACCATTGCCCCATGTCTACGTCTGCCCACCGAGCAAAGGGCTACCTGGACAAAGACACGCCTGCGCACCACGCGGGTGGAAGCCGCCTCCTCATCGTCACTCAGTCCCTCGCTCTCCCCCAGCTCCTTGTCCAGCTCCTGGTGGATGTGCTTCAGCACGAAGTGGACGGAGCCCTGGGCGATGTGCAAGAGGTTCTGGCAACTGACCAGAAAGAAGCCCAGGAGGACCACACTGATGAAGAGCTGGGTCAGGAAGCCCCACATGATCCCGGAGGAGCGGCCGGGTGGCTGGTCACAGCTTGAGCCCTAGCGCCTGTCTGCTGTCATGGCCAGAGGGCACCCTCTGGGCTGGTGGCCGGAGCAGCCTCTCCCTCCGAACTAGGAGGTGGGAGACAGGGAGGCGGCTGTAATTTTAGCCTGGCCCTGAGCAGCTGCTTGGAGGCACTTGGCCAAGCCTTCCCGCCCCCCTGCCTTCTCCTAGGAGCAGCTTTATCAAAGTCACCCTGGCTTACGCTCGGGGAGGGGGGCTGTGAATGTGCGGAGCGGAGCGGCTGTGAATGTGCTGTGCCAGTCTTAAGCCAGGTTGGGGTACCTGTCTCAGCCCAGCCCAGCCCAGCCACTGGCATGTGGAGCAGCTCTATTCCTGGGCCTGCTGGGCCTGCCCTAAGCAAGACCTTGGTGCTACCCAATTAGGAAGTGAGCAAAGGAGCTCATCAGGCAGATATAAATAGAGCACAGAAGCTCCTTTGCTCAGCAAAAGCAGGAGTGGAGGAGAGCACCATCTGCTGGTTCAGCAGCCCTGACTGTTGAGCGTGCAACTATCCAACCTATTAAGCAGGTTTCACTACCCTTCGTTTCCCAGCTGACTGTGGCAATAGGCTGGCTTGCGGAAAGCCAACCACAGGAACAACGTCAACAGCACCATCATCCCGGGATAAAGGAGAAGGAACCAACCTGGACAGTTAAACAGAACACCAGAGGTCTGGGGCTGCAACTGATCCGGAGATGAACATTTTGCAAAGGCTTTCACTGCTGCAGTGTTTGCTTCTTGCACTTCCCCAACAAGCAGTGTTAATGTTGGGGTATTAATTTATTTCTGTCCTGAGCGAGAACCCATGCAGACATGCAAGCAAGTGAACGATCTGTGGGAATGACCTTGGGAGACAGGAGGAAGAGCCACAGCCGAGGCAACTGTCATGCAAAAGCTATTTCAGCCCACAGAGGGGAGGAGATGTGGAAAGCGTCTCAGGAGAGGCCCTCTCTAGTTTTTTGGAAAGTAAAAGGAAAGGAGGAGAAATAGAAGTCTTGCAAGATTGATGTCAGCCCTTTGAGCTAGTTCAGACAAGAAGCACCAACCATGAGGACTAACTACCTTTATTGTAAGGTTACATTAACAGAATCGTGCAAGACTCAAAGTATTCCTCCCCTCCTCTCTCCTTTTGCTCTCATTGAGGATTTCAATTATTTACTTTCCATATATTTGTTCACTACAAATAATCCTATTCTGCCTCCTAACTGGAGCTAAGCTCACCTCCAAGAGAGGTAGTTATGGTAGGGGGGGATGGTAGTAGGAGAGGCAGTATGGTAGACCCCATACCAGAAACCAACGCCTGCGATACAGTTTTGCACGCCTACCTGCATTTGTGCAAAGCAGCTGCTATCAGACTCCTCCAGCCACTTGGCTAACCCTTGCTGCCTCCCAGGCTGGAGCCCCCAGTCCCTCTGGAAGAGGGGGCTTTCCCGCTCTTCCGATGAGTCGATCCGCATGTGCTCCAGCCTTTCCCGCTCCCGGCCACGCACTTTGTAAGATACCCCTTGTCGCAGGAGTGGGGGGCTCAGGGACACCCCTTTGGCCAAGTCTGTCAAGCTGGAGATGAAGGAGCCCTCGACCACCAACGCACCAGGCCTGGGGTCAAAGACAGAAAGAGAGGGGTTTTTTTCATTCCCAAGGCAAGAAACACAAAATCCAGAGCTTGAGGACAGCACCAAATTTAGTCTGGCATTTTCATGGCCACGTTTCCAAAATTTGATGGGGCCAGGGACCATTTGGGGAGTGGGTTTCAGGAGTTTTAAAGGGTGAAATGGGTACCTTAAGCACCTGCCAGGCTTAAGATACCTGTTCCATCTCTTAACCACCCTGCGATGAAAGCTCAGATAAAATCTCCCAGAAGTTGAATTCAGTGTGTGATAACTTAACCGACAGTGTGACAAAATGGTAGATCGCTTGCATTCTACTAAAGTAAGGAAAGGGTTAAGTAGGACCTTTGTTATAAGGAAGGTGGGGTGGAAGCTAGAAGAAGGTAGAGAAAGGTGTGAAGAACCAGGAGAAGGGCCGTTAAGAGCTGGGCTGAGAAAAAAGGGTGAAAAGATAGGGATAGTAATCCATTAAGACATAATTAAGACATTTGGACAGGAAAAATCCGTATGAAATTAAAGATATGCAGAAACTGGTTTTGTTTCTGCAGCTCAGATACTAGAGGGGAGAGGAGAGGAGAAGACAAGACAAGACTCTGGTGGCCCTTGTGAAAAAATAACATATTTTATTTAAAGAACCACAGAATTTTGTACTTCTAAGAAGAAATAATTCATACAATATTCCACATTATCTTCCCATAAAATGTTATTGTTTCATTCATTCATTCCATTTATACCCCCCCACAATCCTGCATGACCTTCATTGTTAAATAAATGTTTAACTCTTCATAAACAATTGATCCTCTGAGTTAAGGAGAGAAAAGTAATAGTAATTACACCTGAAACCACAAACTATTATGCTACTAGGAAAGAACTATCAACGAGAAGACAGCCCAAGTATATGAACTCTACATTGCTCATTTTGGAATGGTGGCAGTGACATTTTAAATCGTACTTCCCACAATAAACATGGAAGAATTTGTGCCCTTTCTGACCAAATAAGTCTGCTTTTGCCAGACACAGACATGACATTTTCTTGGGGACAATACAGAACTGGTCCAGGATGTCGTCTTCTCAATTTCCCAGGCTAGCCCACCTCTAGAGTTCCCCAAACCCTGCCCCGTCAGCCGGGCATTGCCTTACCTGTCCTTGCTCTTGTCTATCACCCGGCTAACGGTGGGTGACTCCGTGATGCCCACCTGCACTCTCTGCTGGCCTGGAATGAGAAAGAGGTCACAGTGGGAACCCTGACCCCCCAAGCAGCCCCCCCAGTGCTCGCCATCTGGCCTTCTCCCCTCTGACCTCTGACCTTCCTCCTGCTCTAGCATGTCCATCAGGCCATTCATGGCGTCTGAATCCACTGTGTCGTCCTCCACCAGGTCCATGGAGCCAAGGGGGTCAGGGCCATGCACGTCCTCCAGGAGCTGCCCCGGGAACCGCCCTTCACTTGTGGCGTCCGAGTCCTCAGCCTTGCTGCACTCCAGGGAGGAGTCTTCGGCAGTCACCAGCGAGGGCGTCAGCCCCGAAGACCACACCTGCATGTCCGACATCTCCAGGAGGGCATCCTGCTCGCTGGCAGCCATGGGAATGGCTTCCAGGATGGCCACCTCATTCCAGTATTGGTCAGCACACAGCGGGGAAGGCAGAGCGTAGTGCATGGAGGCGGGGGAGAGCAGCTCGTCCTGCAGCGAAGCATAACCTACGTAGGCAGACAGAGGACGACAGACTGACACACTGACCTGGGGGTGCAGGGGACAGGATGTTCAGGCCTGCCCGTCTGGGGTAGGGAGCCTACTATGTGCACCATGGGGTCTCCATCCCAACCAGCTTCATTAGCACTTCCTGGACCCAGGATCATGGAGGGGAGGAGAGGGGAGGAGCACTTGCTGTCCTTCAGAGACCGCCTGCTTTCCAATGGGGACCAGGAATGCAAGGTGGGTCTCATGCTAACTTTGATTTAACTCTAACACGAAACCTTCCCAATCTGGGTTGGGTGGACTTCAAGGCCCAAAATTCTTAGGAGGGGCCTTGCAGGCTGAGAATTCTGGGACAAAGCCTCCACATGGGGAATGGAAACAGCGTTGGGGAAGTTGGCTCTGTGTAGAGGACCCTGTTAAGGCAAAAATGAAAGCATTTTGCCCTTGTTTCTTGGGGAATGCAATCAAGTTTGGAAGTGGGAAGAAGAAGGGGAAAAATTGCCCCTGGGTCCTTTCAATGTTCAAATCCCATGGATGCCTCTTGCTCCCTCTATGGAAATGACTTCATGAATGCTAAAGGCCCTTTGAAATGCAGAAATACATTTTCCATCTGCATTCCCAACTCCACTGCAACCAGAATAAACCTAAAGGTTTAAGCCTTACATCTGAGAAGTTCCTTTGTGTTTTTAATAAGACAACAATCCAGGGCGCAGCATTTCACCATATTTTACGTGGTGAAAATGCGTGAAAATAAAATAACTTCTCTGAAAGGTGGCTATGGAACATGATGACACGCTTGCCGCATTATATTTTATTTATTTATTTATTTATTTATTTAAGACTTGCGGGGGAGGGGAATTCAAGCTATTGCTTTGCCAGAAACTATTCTTTCCTACCTTCCAAAAAAGGAGGAAGGGAGGACTGCTGAAAAAATGTCCCTACATCCCTCATCTTTCTCAGAAAGTATGTGGACCTTGCTCTTCCCTACACCATCTGGCCCCCATAAAAGGTGGGTAGCATCTTAAAACTGGGCAATTGCTTTTTTCCCAGGGTGTCTTAAAGTTGATGAGGCTGAGAGACGCTGCTCTAAGTGAATGCCACGCTACTCTCCAAAAATGCCGCTGGCCTTGATCAGGTAAGGCAGGAGAGGGAAGACGTCAGCCACGTGGCATTTACCTTTTTCAGATGTGCCCTCTGGGTTGCAGCCATGAGCTGCCCAGCAACTGATTACTTGTGATGTACAACAGAAACAGAAGCCCCCTGAGCATTCTGGATTATGGCTAGCAGGAAACATTCAATGAAGCACAAGACACACCTCCACCTCTCACAATCAATGGCTGTTTACTGGCCAAGAAGGTTGATGTGAGTCTACAAGAGGAGAAGTTGGGGATCCCTATCACGCTGATTGGACAGCTCCTACATCATTGCTCTCAATTCACTGCTTGCTGGGTTCTCATTCTTCTTTCTTTTATCTGGCTCCTTCTATCAGAATTGAGATGGTCCATCTCTCGGGGTCTTATTTGCAACTTGTTTTTGGCAGAATCGCTGGACCATCCATTTCCATAGCCAAGAGGGCTATGATGCAGAAAATTATAGGACCATCCAGAAGGCACTGGGGAAAGCTTCTCTAAAATGATCCTGTCCAATCATGGCACTATTTCAACCCAAACTAAAAGGAAGGTGAAGTGGTCAGAGGAAGGTAGCTCTCACCTTGGGAAAGGGGAAGGGATGAGCAAATTATTACGGGTGGACTTTCAGAAAAGGTCACGTAGTCCTGAGTAGGAGGAATGTGTGAGAAAGAAACCCAAAACAACCCCGCCTTGATTTTGCTTGGTACAAGAAGTTGCAGAGAGAAATTCGGAGAGGTTTTCAAGGTTCTGTTATTCTACCCTACCCTCCTGGAATCCTGCCATGCCTGTTCCTTGTCCTTGCCTACCTCAAAGGGCTGACATCTAGTAAGAAGTTGCAGAGAGAAATTCGGAGAGGTTTTCAAGGTTCTGTTATTCTACCCTACCCTCCTGGAATCCCTGCCATGCCTGTTCCTTGTCCTTGCCTACCTCAAAGGGCTGACATCTAGTAAATGCAGGGAAGCAAAAGAACTTGCACATCCCTTCTCCCAAGGATTCAGTGTGAGTGTGACGATTGTTCCATGCAGCCAGGACACAGCTGCCCAACTGCAGCCAGACTTGATCTGTCCAGGTGAGCTCAGGCATTCACTGTAAGCAGCTGCAAGGCAAGGAAGGAAAGCGGCAGCAGGGGGGGCAAGGGGGGCTAGCAGGAATGTGCAAAGGGGAGATCGTGCTGGGGCTGCACAGAAAGGCCTTGCCAGGTCAAGCTGGGCAAATCGTGCACCGGCCAGCAAAGCAACAGCTCTCGTATGGCTCAGGTCACACAAGAGAGGAAAAGACAGACCGAGACAGTGGAGACAGGTTGTAGAGGAAGAAGAGAAGGAGGAAGAAGAGAGAGAAACCAGGATGAAGCCACGGGTGCCATGCCAGGCACCTCCCGCCAGCCAGCTTGGAACAACCAGCACCCCCTCTGGCAGGAGAGAAAGTGGAAGGGTGCAGATCGTACTGGGGAGGAAGAGGGAGGGAGGCAGAGAAAGAATGACTGTGCAGTAGAGAAGCTGTGTGCACCCCTCTCAAACGCATCAGAGCCTTGCGGGCTGCATCTGGTCTCCAGCACACACTAAACCACATCCTATTCTCACCTTCTCTTGTGCAAGTTATTGGAGGCCCCGTTCTTCAAAGTGACAGTTGGACTGCAACTCAAGCCAGGCCCCTCCATAACGCCTCCAACATGAGCAACATGAGCTGCTTACATCTCAACTTAAACTATCCAAGGCTTGGACCCTATCAGTGGTTTATCACCAGCAGACCTTCAGGGTCCAACAGCTATTCACAGAACATCTCATCATCACAATGATTGACAAGCTCTGTTCTGAAGCAGGGTGAGCAACTCAAATCCCTTGGAGAGCAATATCCACATACTTTTCAAGCCCAAGAAGAATGTCAAAACTCCTGGCCAATCACCTGGTTTTGATGCCAGAGTCTCTGTTCTTCTGTCTATCAGAAGTGTGTATCTAGTCTATGTTCCCTTAAGCTCTAAGGGAGAAAGAGGGGTTGAACCCCATAGAATAACATCTGGCTATGTACATCTGACAATTCCTAAGAAGGATGAACTGAGTCACACACTGCCTCCTGCTGGTCAATATAATTGTTCCTCTATCTGGCATCTATTATTTATTTCTTAAATAGTTGTGCAATTGGTAATTGCATGAACAACTTTATATCCAGTTTGGCACCAAGTCTCCAGGACTCATCTAGTCAACCAACCATTCTGCCACCCTTAGCTACAGCACTCTTTTCCACTTCCTGACTCATACAAGATGCTCAACCACATTGCTGTACCCAATCATATTACAGATTTTGTGGGTATCTTGGCTCTCACCAGGTTGTGAGCCCAATAATAGTCAGTTCTTGATGAGGGTATCAAATGAGGGAGCAGTTGACAAAAGGGAGAACTAACAGCCAAAAGCCAATCGTCAAGTTCATCTCAAGAACCTTCAGACTAGCCAAAAGAACAGCAGAGATCCAGAGTGAAGAGGAAAGGTACAGCTGTGACCACAGAAGGCAGCCAGGAAAGACCTGAAGTTAGTACAATAGAGCAGATCTGGGACTCACCATTTATCTGGGAGGGAGATCCAGAATAGTCTCTGTGCCGGTAGCGCTTGTCACCCTTCAGGCTGTGGCTCTGCCGCACCGAGCCTTCCAGCATGTTGATAATTTCGCCACGGTCAATGTTGCGCAGGGCTGTATAAAGGCTTTCCACTGCAAGGAAAGAGGAAGAAGAATGTGTTAGGAACAGGAAGTCAATGCCAGACCTAAAATCAAGTGGAGTCTTGCCCGAACCATAGTGGAAAACACCAACTCAAATGTACATAGTTTGATTTCATTCAGTCCTTTAATCAGAATGGTCACCTTCTTTTGGGTCAACCCTTACACTTTTTGTCCTTGCTTGGTAAAGGGATTCAATGAGATATAAACATGCAAAGAAGAAAAAAGAATGAAAAGCAAGGGATCCTTGCTCTCATTTCTTACGATCCACATATCTTTCTACAGTTCTTATCATCTTAGCTTGCCCCTAGTTTTGAACATCTGCTACTTTTGTAAAATAAGGGACAGGTTATAGCATTGGGCAAAGCAGCAAGTGAGGAATGGGTGCTCAATTCATTGACCAAAATATTGACAAAGGGCCTTGGAGTCACCTTCACTATTTTTTGATATGGTAGAATGCCAACAGCAAGGTTATTTTTCATTGCTCGTATTCATACAGTAAGTGGGACAAGAAATAGGAAACTTAAGAGAGACTCTCAACAAATCTGTCAGCCTTCTCCATCCAGCCTTAACTCAGTCCCCATCACTGAGGAATGTCCAGGATGGCAAGAGGCAGATTCTATGTTGCATTAATTTGATATGAAAGTCCTAACAGCATGGGTCTGGGTGCATCCTTTCATTGTTGTGCAGGATGTAACCCAAAGACTTTTGATGGCATGAACTGATTTTAAAAAGTCCCTGGAGAGAATCTAAAGCATCTCTCTGATATGCAAAAGAGGAAGCCCCCATTTCCAGCACTACCATTAATACTCACTGTTGTCATTCTGGCCACCACGGCTGGTCCAAAGATTCAACAGGGCCATGCTCTGCTCCAGGAGGGAGTTTGGATTCTCAACTCGGATTCTGTTGATGTCATCCACTCCAAATTGAAGTTCCCGGGCCAGCTCTGCAGGGAGTTGGGGAGAATAGATGAGCCAGCTCAATCATCAGGCAAGGATGGAATCAGGGCCTTGCAACCAGTCTGCATTCAAGTAGCCCAAGATCAACAAAGCCAAACTTGAGGTGGGAGATAGGATTAAACATTATGTTGATGCAAAGAGGCAAAATGGGATTGCTCCATTGACCTGGCACCTGGGATACCTGGTCGGGGCCTTCAGTGGGAGGCTGGGGGGAACAAAGTAGATAGAGCTACATCACAAGTAGACAGGACAGGGTTTTTGTTTTTTGATTACGGTAAGCTGTAGGGCTTACAGCACAGTTCTCATGTTTCCCACCTTAAGCTGGCATTCAGTTTTCAGTATTCGTAAATAGAGGGAGCAGTATGGGTGTAAAAGAATTTAGAGCTAACCTTGGGGAAAGTATGAAAAGGCCATTAATGGAAGAAGGAAAGAATGAGCCATTAAAGAAGGGAAGGGGACAAGATATTACATAGTTCAGAGACAGAAGGAAGTGTAAGAAAAAAAGTCAAAGTAGCTCCACTTTGATTTTGTTTAGTGTAAGAAAGGACAGAGAAGAACATGAACAGGCTTTCAAGAGTCTGTTAATATACTCTAAAGTAGCATTTCTGGGATCCCTGCAGTGTTTGTTTCTTGACCTAATCTAGTTGACAGTGGGCCAACAAAAGGGGACCTTGTGCAGCCTTAGGACTACAGGTTGCCCACCTCTGATGTAACTTGTTGGTTATCAAAGCTGAGATCGCACCTCTTGATTTCCCACAGAGAAGACCACAGAAGTCAAGTGCAGGGAGTTTATTACAGGTAGCCCTTGGTTAACGACATTAGGGACCAGAAAAATTGGTTGTTAAGCAAGTCACCATGGGACTGGACCCAATTTTACAACCATTTTTACAATGGTTGTTAAGCGAATCCAGCTTCCCCAATGGGCCTTTTTGCCAGAATTCACTTAATGACCGTGATTTGCTTAATGACCATTGTTAAAAATGGTCACAAATCGCTATCATGTAACCGCTGGGGGTGGTGCAGTGGTTTGTGATGGTTGTAAGTGCAAGTACAGGTCGTAAAGCACTTTTTCCAAGGCCATTGTAACTTCAAAGCGTTGTGAAAGGAATGGTCGTTAAGCAAGGATTATCTGTATGCTACATCCAATCTCAGAAGAACAATGTTCTTCCTCCAGAGTCCAAACAACAGTGGGCAATTCAACCTTAACTAACATTTCCTTCTATCCTGCGCTCCAAGTCTGCCATTTTACATGGCTTGGTTCCCTCCTTACCCCCAGTTCAGTGATACTTACCAGCCCAACTGAGACCCAGGTGTTCTGCAACAATTGCCAACTTCATGTTGGTTCTCTCTTTCTCTGTGCTGTTAAGGGATCCTGAAAGGGGAGGAGCAAAGGTAAACTCAACCATCTCCACCCTCGGTATTGCTGGAGTTTTTCTCAGCTCCTCAACTGGGAAGGAGGAGAAGCAGCAACTTTCATCATTTGGGTGATTTCTCTTTTAAAAGAATAGGGAAGGCCATGTCTACACTGAGTCTGCCCCTGTAAGTTTGTTCCTGGAAGAGAAATTATCTGAGGTTTGCAAACTGAGAAGACAGAACCTCTCTTGTCTCATGAGCAATGCTCTGTCCTTTGCCTTGCTGGCTTTCAAAAAGTAATCAGAGCAGAATTATTCTACAATCACATTATGAAACAGAACCTTTCTCAGGAGATATGTCATGAAATCTTTATGATCAAAAAGGCTGAATTGATAGAGATTTAAAAACAGAAGTTGTGCCCTATATTTTATTTTATTTTGCTATTTCTTCATTGTAGCTGGTTGGATCATAATCGTCATAATCCCGACAAATCCTAGCAAGGCTTCAGCAAGTGTCAGACTCAATAAAAATTAGCAAAGCTTTACATTCTCGTGGGGTTTTACAAATCCTTGTACTACTTATGTCCTTTTATAGTTATCTATCTTAGTTATCTATTGCATTCTGACTATTGATTGTAAAATTATAATTTTATAGCTTTCTCCTGGGTTTTAATTCCTGTACAGTACTTTGTAATTTTACATTAATAATTTTATTTTTACCTTATTTTATTCTATCAATATGATTTTTTTAAACTTTTACTTCTACTTTAGAGTGACTGATATATTATTAGTTTTATGTTGGTCCATGACCGAAATTAAATAAATAAACAAACAATTCAAGTATGGTTTTCCTATTGTTCCTTGAATGGTTTGTTGTGTGTGTGTGTGTGTGTGTACATTTTGCAAATATTTTTCTAAAAATAAATTTAAAAGCATCTGGCCACATTATTTTTCTGAACAGATCCTTTGCCGGGGGCAGTGAAACTCAGAGGCACAAAGCTATCGGCGTTCTTCGTTTTTTAAAGTGAAATCACCCAACTATTTCCACAGACTACTCTTCAAAAAAGAAAGATGAAGGAGAGAGAGGGCTGTGCTGCCAACCATCTGGCATCCCGCCCCCCCCCCAGATCACAGACTGGGCACCATGGGGTAGGACAGTCAAGGGACTTTTGAGGCAGAAGCACATTCTAACTCCCTGTTGTGGACAGCTAGCACGTCAAGGAAAATGTTGGCAAACCTGCTGAGCCTTTTTGCTGGAGATTTCTGTTGTTTGGGATATAGGGAGCCATTGCAGAGAAAACATCTACCTTTGTACTGACATCACCCATCACTGGTGGCACATCATGCATTGTGCTATGCTTTCCAGCTTACAAACTGGCATCCTCACTTGACACAATTAAATGCTAAGGGTCTAGCAGAGAGGAAGAAGGTTCTATGCTCCGTCCAACCTGCATTGCTGGGGTCTTGTCCTCTTACCCAGAGTGCTGTCATTGAGCAGGCTGTATCTCTCCCTCAGGGCAAGTGGTGTCAAGGTCCTCCTTCGCTCTTCACTGCCAGATGTCTGGGGACAACAAGGGAAGGCAAAGTGGGGAGGAGCAACCACCTAACAAATACTCCCTGAGCTGGGACACTCAAAACCCAAACACTCTCCCACCTCTGCTACCAGCCTGGGATATCTCATAACCAAGGATCTCAGCCCAAACTCAGAACATTTATCTGGGAGATATCCATAGTGTTCCTTTGCTTCCTTGCTCCGTAACGTATGGCATGGCTTGTTTGCTGAGGAATGCTGAAGTTCACTGCAGGCCTCATGTGGTGATCTGGAACAGGCCTGGGCAAAGCCTACCATTCTTAAAAGGAATGGTCCAGAGATCTCTAGAATGTTCCATTTCTTCTCCAGGCCACATCAATCCCATTCCAGGGGTGGTTCCTCAATTTTCCAGAAGTTAAATCTCCCAAAACAAAGGTAATTCATGGTGTTCCAGATATGGTGCTTCAGAGGCCTGTTTTGAGGATGGACCATGTCCAGAACACCATAAACTGCTTTCTATTCAGAAAGGTGATTACTGGAAAACAGCTGGATCATCCTCAGAACTGCTGAATCATTGTGATCTAGAGGAGAACGAGAATGTCCTGGGATTCTCTAGCACTTTCTTTTCCTACAATAGTAAATTCTCCACATACCTTTCCCAAATAATAATTAAACATTACACTCTCCTGATATTTTTGTTCCATTTCAGACAGCCATTTCCTTCTCCAGAATACTCCATTTTTCCTTCCCTCCAGCCTTCATTCTGTGCTAACTGAGCATGCTTGTCCTCACAGATTCATTTGGCTAGATAGCAGCTGGCCTGTGTTTTTATTTTATTAGCTGAAAAGCAGATTTCTAGGCCTTATGAAAGTTGGTGGGCAATACAGTTTCAGAAGCTAGAATGGGGAAACCAAGTAAGGTTTCTAGCAATATGTATGGGGGGGAAGGGAAATTTTCTCACAGAAAATCTAGCCCTTCCATTTGAAGAACAGAGATTCTCAGCATTAAGTATTAATCTAATGGCAAATTTCCAATATATTATGTCATACTAATGTAATATTTTGTTTCTGCCTGGGTTAGTCATCAGGAGCAGCCACAGTGAGGGGACCAGACAAATCAAGGTGGAGCTCTGACACCGAACCATGGTGACCATCTTGACCTTTGGCTCCCTCATCCCTGACATTCCTGTTGGCTTTGGCCAAAGTTTGACCAATACAAATTATTTTGAGGAAATCATAAACAACTGCGTTCTTTTTCTATCTGAATGCTATTTCTTTCTGTCCTAACACAGATGTTTTGATAATAGAATCAAGGAATCATTTAAATATTGTCGATATACACAGCTTAGGTGTGTTGCAGAAACTGCATCTTGCAAGCTTGCAATGGGATTGAATCCTGAAGCTACTCCCAAGCCTGCTCTGCTGTGAGCCAAAAGGCAAATGGAATGTGGACAGGATAGGACACGTGAAGGTCTGCAGTGGCCCACCTGGACTTACTCACCTTGGAGCAGGGTGGCATTGTGACATTCAGGTGGCACAGCACATGCTGAAGCTCTTCATACTTCATGGGCTTGCGGAGGAAGGACAACGACCCACTGGCTTCCCGACTACTGTCCCTCACCTACATTTCAGAACACAAGAGGGGACAAATGGAAGCCAAGCTCAGCCTTCTTCAAGAAGCAGGTCCAAATATCAGCTGTGTTCCACAACCCTCCTTTGATTCGCCATCAGCCCAGTCTTTTTAATTTTGCCTTCCTTGTTGGCATTGTCAGAAAGACACTCAGGAACAAAGCAAGTTATTTATTAATTTTTCTTTCTTTCATGAGAGTGGGAGATAAATTCCTGGAAATCCATTTCAGCTCAAAGCTGGCTTGTAATCCTTCAAAGAATCAAGGGATCTAGAGTTGGAAGGAGCCATTGTAATGGAATTCTCTGAGCCAGGAAACGGGAAAGGACATTTCAAAAAATATTGCAGGGCAAGAACAGAAGGACATTACTTTTGTATTTTCTAAACAGGTATCAATCTCCCACTTGAGTCACAGGACAGCAAGAGGATCAAAGGCATCAAGGAGGCCCTGCCTCAACATACTTTATGATGAATGAGAACTAAAGCACACATCCCTAGTTCCCAAAATTCTGTCACTGTTTTCCTTGCAATAAACTGGACTAATGAGCTTCTGTGAAAACCTAGTTTTCTTGGTTCTAAGCTGCTGTTAAGAGCTTGACACTGTCAAGTCCAGCCTCTGCTCTCTGGAGGAATCCAGACTAAGGCTCCTGTGCAAATGATTCCCCAGCCTCTGCTTGAACACACCCAGTGAAGAAGGGTCCCTCACTAATTCCTTCAATAATTGGTTCCACTCTGGAGTTGCTTTTGCCAATATTAAGACCATTATTCATGCCCTGTATTCTTGGACAACTGGAAAAAGCTTGTGTTCTTCTTCTGGGTGACGTTCCCTCAGGTACTTGAAGAGTGTTATCATCTTCTCTTCAGTTGTCTTCCCTCCAGAGCAGTGTTTCTCAACCTTGGCCATTTTAAGATATGTGGACTTCCACTCCCATGGCTGCCTGGGGAATTCTGGGAGTGGAAGTCCACATATCTTAAAGTGGCCAAGGTTGAGAAACACTGCTCTAGACTAAACCTCCTTGGGTCTCCCCTTGCAGAACACAGATTTCAATCTCCTGCTCATTGTCATTGCTCTTCTTGGAACATTTAATCCTTCTTAAACCAAGTTCCTGGCCCTGACTTTAGCTCCAAACAAGTCCTGAGCTTCAAGAGTAAAGTAACCGTGGGATCTCTGCCCTTCCCTGGGCAAGGTCAAGGAAACTCTTCAACTGAAGTGACTCAAGCTGAGGTCTTCTTTCTGAAAGATCTACTTACAGGAGTAACTGCAAGTAGAACAGTGGGGAGGTGAAGTGGAAGCCTAACCAAGCCAAGACCACTCTCCATTCTCTTTGCAAGACTGCAAAGAGATGGTTGTAGACTCCGCTGGCATCCTTACCTGGGAAGACAGCCAGGCCAGAACAACCAGAGACAGCCCCAGTGTCTTGTTTCCAAAACTTTGCACTGATTACCTTAACTGGGATGATGAGGCGGTTCTCGTGGAATGACCGGAACAAGAAACTACGTTGCTGGGCAGCCTTCTTGATCGGCAGCAGGTTCCCAGAAAGCTCCATGTGGAGTGGCATGGCTTCAGCCACCTGCAAAAGGCAACTGTAAGGTTCCCTGGGCAATTTATTTCTTACCATTTTAATCGCTTGTGTTCCACCTCACCCATTCCCCGTAGATTCTTGGTAGTTTCTGGAGATAGGAATCATAACCCCTATAAAAGTGAACCACCACAGATATCTGGGGGAGGAAGTGATGTCAGGTGCATCATGACATCATCACACAAATCTGGCATTTGTAATGATGTCATGATGGATGTGGTGTCACCATGGCTTCGCCATGACCTAGGTGAGCATCCTACAAGAAGGTTCAGTGTGATCATTTGAACTCATCCACAGTTAAAAGATTCCCCCAAAACATGTTTCGAAGACCCCACGCTCAGAGTTTCTTTCTGTGAGATGGGCGGCTATATAAACATGACAAAGAAACAAATACTCCATTCTATTACACCTCAGCAGTTTTCCTATGGTGGAAACATACAAAAACAGAACTGGAAGCTGTAATGTGGGCCTAACAGTGAAATGACACCTCCTCTCCCCTTCAAAACGTCAAAAAGAAAAAAACCATCTTGCTTCGCCAAAAGGAGCGACTTGGCCCTTCCACCATCCCCACCCAAAAAAAAAGAAAGGAAAATTAAATGTAGGATACATGCAATCCCCATTTAATTCCCCTGAGAACAGGGAGGCATCGTTGTCCATTAAATGTGTGCTCAGCTTATAACTGCTTTGGGTAAATAGGATTACAAGGTTTTGAAAACAGAAGCATAAAAATATTAAAACATTAAAATATAGAATGACACAGAAACACGTTTTAGAAACTTGCAAACCTTATATGGCTGGCAGCAGCATCCACAGGGGTGTCAAAGAAAGGCCAGAGGGCACAACCGCCCTCTGGCCACTTTGTCCCCACCCCTACCCCACAGCTGGATTAGGTGGAAGGAAATGGAGGGGCCTATGGAAAGCAAGGTCTCCCTGTTGCAATAATTCAAAGTAGGTTTTATCTTGTTCTCTTTTTATTGTGAGCCACCCAGGGTCAGTTTGGAGTTGGGTGGCACCAAAACCAAACCAAATCAAATCACAAAATAAATAACTGTTTCAGAAAATTCCAATTGTGACTCTCCCGGAATGAAAAAAACCTGCAAAGCAACACTGTCTGTGGACCCAAGATGGCAGGCAGGGGGCGGGGGCGTTAAACTAAAGAGACTGGCAGCCAGTAGGTGACCCAGGAGCTACCTCGATGTCCCGGCTGCGTGCCACTTCGGTGAAGTTTTCGTGCTGCTCCAGCGTCTTGTCCACCTTATCGTCGGTCATGCAGTAGCAGCGCAGGCGTCCTTCCCGCCCGTCGTTCATTTTGGCAAATACCACAAACTTCGCCATGTAAGGCACAGCTGCCAGCTCCTTGTACAACAGAGTGGCAAAATGGACAGCTTCGGCTGTGCGCGGGCAGTCTGCAAGCCAGAACCTGGGTGGCAGAAAAGGTGAGGCTAGGATGGGAGACCACCAGGAAATCCAAGGGCTGAGCGGTGGCAAACAACCTCTGTGGAGCTGCCAAGAAAACTACGTGGACATTTCTAGGGAATCACCAGGAGTCAAGTTTGACTCAATGGTGACACTACCTAGTTATGTACCATAATCAGGTGGTATAACATTTATCACTCTCTCTGGGTTTTTTAGGGCTTCCTTCCCCAACCCAATGCCCTCCAAACATCTGGGACTACACCATGCTGGGATGATGAGAGTTGTAGTCCAACACATCTGGAAGGCTGGTCAAAGTAATCTTGACCATTCAGTGAGAAGCTGTACGTTGCATTCCCTGTGGCCATGTGAGATCGAGCACCTGTTCTTGAGATGCCACCCAACACGTTCTCCCAAACCTTCCCTCCAATTCACCTGGCAGATACATTGGTGGTGAAATTTGCACACTCGTTGGCATAAACTAATTTTGTGGTCCCGGTGATGTCCTCCCATTGTGCTGGTGCAGTTCCTCCTGAGAAAAGAAAGTGGAAATACGAACAGAACTGACTGAATGCATTCAATTCCCAATCTGATTCCAGAAATTTGATGCAGAAGCTCAGCTGTGCATGATGCCAGTTGGCTAGCCCTTCGTGATGTTACTAAGAGTTGCCTGTTTTGTCCTTGATGCAACTGGACAATGAAAGAAAAAATATTCCTCTTGAACTGTCTCGAAAGGGCAGCCAATCTGAGGAAAAACCAAGTGCTAAAATTGGAAGATGATGGGGCAAGATGGGGAGAGATACTGAAGCTTCTATCTGGCTCACGTGAGTCAATCATCTGGTTTCAGCTTCTGGTGGTAGCATCCCTCTTGAATCTTCAGCTACCTGCCAGCTGCCATTTCCCTCTTGTGATTTCCCCCTCCCCGGTAGAAAACATTGCTCTCAATAATACCACTGAATGATGTTATCGTATGTAATGGGAAGAAGGAATAACCTTGAGGAACAGGAGGAAGAGCTGCTATCAAGACAATACAGGTAGTCCTCACTTAACAGCTGCCCTGTTTAGCGACTGTTCAAAGTTACAACGGTGCTGAAAAATAACTTTAAGACTGGTCCTCACACTTATGACCATCCCAGCATCCCCACAGTCACGTGGTTGAGATTTGGGTGCTTTGCAACCAGCAGGCATTTATGACCATCACAGCGTCCCACGGTCATGTGATCGCCATTTGCGCACTTCACAGTCGGCTTTCGACAAGTAGAGTCAATGGAGAAGCCAGCAGTAAAATTGCAAGTTGTGGTCATGTGATGTCTTGCTTAACAACCTCAGGTGATTTACTTAATGGCCATGGCAGAAGTGAGGTTTTAAGTCCATCACTGTGATGGAATGGAATTATGAAGGCCAAGCTCAGGAAGATAAACATTTTCTTAGCTCG